GCGGCAGAAACCTGAGGTGGGGGCCACAGGCGGGGCCTGGACAAAACCTGCAGAAGGCCGGCGATCCACCCTGCCGGGGCAGAGGGCGCAGCGGCTGGGCAGGGCGCCCACCAGCGCGGGGGAGGGCGGCTGGGGCGGCCAGAGGAGGCGCGCGGGAGCCAACGGCGGGCGGCAAGACGAGCCCGTCCGCAGCAAGCGAAGCGTCCGCCTCCAGGAAGGAGGGCAGGGCGCGGGAGGCAACGCAGGCGAAAGCTGCAACCGTTCGACCTGGGCCCTGGGCACAGAGAGCAAGCCGGTGAGGGCACGAGCGCTGCCCGTGGCGGCCGCCAGGGGCAGACGCAGGGGGGCGCCGAATCTGCGGTAAAAAGGGGGGCTGGCAGGCAAGGAGCCGCCGGCCCGGGGGGGGGAGGGCCGAAAGGCGGGAGGGCAAGCCGACGGTCAGGGAGAGCGCAGGGCAGGGGGGACCAGTGTACAGAGGGGCCGCCACCGACCCTGCTGCAAGGAGGAAGTGGCGACAAGCACCTGCGGGTCGAATTGGGCAGGCGAGTCCCAGGCGGGCAAGGGGTGCCCGGCCCAGGAGCGGCGCGGGGGAGCAGCCCGAGGGACTCAGAATAGGTCGATGCAGGCGCGCCTGCCACGTCGACGGGCAGCTACCAGTGCTGACTGCGTGCCCCGGACCACCGCTGGCGCGAGGGGTCGTTGCTGGGCCAAGAGGCGTCAGCAGGACGCTTGCCCGTCCCTTGCAGGGGGTACCCTTCCCTTTGCCCTTGGCGGCCTGCGCGCTGTGCCTCCTCTTCTCCATCTCACGTTCCCAGTCGGCATCCCAAGCGACGTGGATGCCCCTATACCAGCAGATGGTGCGGACATCGAAGTTGACCTGGATGAGGTCAGAAACAAAACCTTCACAGAAATCGGGGGAGCGCCAGCTAGGGGTCCTTAAAGGAGTGCTGCCCCAATTTGCGGTTTCAAATGGCGTTCCAGCCAATCGTCAGCATGGGGCCGCATTCCTTTTTGAGGCGGTTGACCACCTTCTGCCAAGACTCTTTCTTATCGGCGTTATAATTACAGCCAGGGTGACACCGTACCTCTTGCCGCGGCTTGAAGCAGAGCTGGTCCGAGACGTCGTGATGGGGGGGTGTAATCGCACGAGAGAACAGGGGCGCGAAAGGGAGGGTCGACCTGTCGCCATGGCGGGGCCCGCTCCGATGGGCCGCTACCGCGACCCCTCCTGGAAGCCTTTTGAACAAGCTCTTCTCCGCCGCCTCCCGAGGCGCCCCCGGCGGACGGTTCGGCCTGCAGCGCCTGTCCGCGATCGGGGCTGGGTGACGGGCGCGCGTCTTTGGGTGGTTGCGGAGAGCTGCTCGGGCTGGGGTGGCTGCGTGCGGCGCTATCTGGGGTGCGTCGCTTCTGCGGGCTCCAATCGCAGACGGCTGAGTTGGAGCGAGCGCGTGACGCTGAGGGGTGACTGGAGCTGCTGTCGCGCCGCTTACGATTTGCCCCTGGGGGTCGTTGGGCGCGTCGGACAACCCGACGCGTCCATCCTCGCTGCCGCTGGGCGGCGACCTGGACCTCCGCGATGGGGGAGCGGGGTTACTGTCGAGCTGCTCGATCGCCTCGCGCCTGGGGGGGGCTGGGGACTGGGGCAACCCGAGCCTTTGAGTGGGGCCCAGAGCAGCGTCGCTGGGCTGGCCGCTCCCTCCGCCCACCCTTGCTCATTCGCTCTGCGGGGCAAGAGCGGCGCGCAAGGGACTGCCGGCGGTTGAGATTGCTTGCCTCCTTCTCGCCGCAGTTGCCCGAAACCCCGCGATCTGCGGGTCCTGAAAGCTCGTGATGTCCCTCAAGGACAGGCAGCCGAGCAGTATATCCTGGCTGCACCACGCGGGGTCTCGTCCTTGTGCGGAGGCCTGGGGGTCGTGATTAATGCGGTACGCGTCCCATGCGCGCGCGCACGCACGCACGCACACACGTGCGCGCGCACGCGTGCACGCACGCACGCACGCACGCACGCACGCACGCACCCCCCCACACACACACACACACACACACACACACACACACACACACACACACACACACACACACACACCACACACACATTCACACATTCACATTCACATTCACATTCACATTCACATTCACATTCACATTCACATTCACATTCACATTCATTCATCACATTCACATTCACATTCACATTCACATTCACATTCACATTCACATTCACATTCACATTCACATTCACATTCACATTCACATTCACATTCACATTCACATTCACATTCACATTCACATTCACATTCACATTCAGATTCACATTCACACACACACACACACACACGCGCGCACACACACACGAGAAGGCGCGCGGACGCACGCACGCACGCACGCATGCACGCACGCACGCACGCACGCACGCACGCACGCACACACACTCAGGCACACGCACACAGCCACACACACACACACGCACACACACACACACACACAGACGCGCGCACGCACGCACGCACGCACGCACGCACGCACGCACGCACGCACACACACACACACACCACACCCACGCGCACGCACGCACGCACGCACGCACGCACGCACCACGCACGCACGCACACACACACACACACACACACACACACACACACACACACACACACACACACGCGCGCGCGCGCGCGCGCGCGCGCGCGCAGCACGCACGCACGCACGCACGCACGCACGCACGCACGCACGCACGCACACACACACACACACACACACACACACACACACACACACACACGCATACACTACTACCACCTCCACCACCACCACCACAACCGTCATCATTGTTCGCGAGGAGGTGGATGGAGGAGGGAGGAGAAGGCGAGGCGGCGGAGGAGGAGAACGAGGACGAAGAGGAGGAGGGAGGACGAAGGAGGCTGGAGGAGATGGTGGAGGGGGGGGCGAGGGTACAATACAGCATGCAGTGAGTCCGAGAAGACATCCCAGACTGAGATCCTTGCCAGGACTGCACAACTCTTATAGGGTGCTGCAGAGAACGGGAGAACGAGGAGGAAGACCCATGCACACCGAAGACGCATCGACGATATCGCAACAAACCCCAAAAGTTTGTTTTTTTCGTAGGTCCCTACAAAAATGTTGCCTCAGTGCGGGAAGTGCCCCATCGGAACACACCCGTCTGAGAATTCTCAATCGTGCGAAAAAGGACACCATGCCTAGGACTTCAACGCCGCGGATCAAAGTGACTGTTGCGTCCTGCCAATCCTAAATCGTGACAGAACACAATTCCTGTAGCTTCAACACAGCGAATCAACGTGACTGTTGCGTCCAGACAATCCTACATCGCGCCAGTACGCCATTCGTGGGACTTCAACCATACGAACCTTCGAAATTGCGTCGAAAGGTTTAAGACGAATGCGCGCGACGCTTAGGCGGGGGACACATTTTGAAAAGGACCCGGCCTCATTCTGTTACACTGTTGCAAGCTATAACGACGAATATTCGCGGAGTGAAAGCGAGAGCAATTTTTTTGAAAACAAGCCGCCTTTCATCCTTGGAACTAGTTCAACTTGTACAACGAATGTGCGCGACGCTACGCCGAGAGCTCCATTTTGCGCGGTGCCAAGGCGAGAGACCCAGCTTGAAAACCACGCGCTCTCCACCTGCACAACTGCTGTAAATTTCAAGCTTCGGGATGGTAAATTGTGATAACGCTTCATGCGGAACGCCCGGCCCGCCCTACCGACACGTCTGGGGGTGCGACAGGGAGGAGTTATCCAGAGGGAAAAACGTGGAAGAACAAAAAGGAAGACCACGACTAGGGAGGAGGAGGAGGGAGGAAGAGGAGGATGGAGGAAGAGGAGAGAGCAAGAGGGAGGAAGAGGATAAAGACCAACGAACACCCAAGACGCACCGACGATGTTGCAATAAACTCTCCCTCCAAGCTCCCTGTTGTTAGGTCCATACAAGAAAAAAAATCATTGACATCCGCCTGAGCATCTTACCTCGTACGAAAACACCATTCCTGGGACTACAATGCCGCGGATCAACGTGACTTTTTCGTCCTGACAGCCCTAAAGTCGTGGCAGAGCACCGTTCCTGCGGCTTCAACACCGCGAGTCGAATACACCGCTGCGTCCTGGTAATCCTACATCGTGCCAGAACATCGTTCCTGGTATTTTAACCATACAAACCCCTGAAAATCGCAAACTTGACGACGAACGTGCGCGGCGTTGAAGCGAAAGCCACATGTTGAAAAGGACCCCGCCCTCCATCCGTGAAGCGCTGCAAGCTTTGCAAAAGAATGTGCGAAGCGCTGGAGCCGGAGGCACCAACTAAAAACTAACCGCCCTCCATCCGCGACACTGCTGTGAGCTGCAAGACGAATGTGCGCGACGCTAGGGCAAGAGCCACATTTTAAAAAGGAACCGCCCTACATCCGCAAAACTGCTGCAAGTCTAAAGCCCCAGGGTCAGGAATGGCGAAGAAATCAAAGGCGAAACGACCAGACCGCCCCACCGGGGGGGAGCGACGGGGAGTGACATGCATTAATAAAGGGAAGGGAGAAGGAGCACGAGGAGAGAGGACGGAGGAGGAGGAGGAGGGAGAAGGACGAGGACGAGGACAGAGGAGAACGGGGGATCAGGGGGAGGATGGATGAGCATGAAAGAAGAGTTAAGGAGGCGAAAGGAAATGGAGGAGGAGGAGGAGGACGACGAGAGATGAGCATGAAGGAGGAGTTGAAGAGGAGAGAAGAGGTGGAGAAGGACGAGGAGGAGGAGGAGAAGGAGGAGAAGGAGGAGGATGTGGAGGAGGAGGAGGAGGAGGAGGAGGACAGAGGAGGAAAACGAGGGGGGATGAGTAGGAAGGAGGAGTTGACGAGGAGGGGGTGGAGGAAGAGGAGAGAGGAAGGAGGGAGAGGAGGAGAGAGAGGAGGAAAGAGGAGGACGAGGAGGTGGAGGAGTTGAGTGGCTGAAATCACCCCTTCCAGCGGCCCCCTCCAGGAGGCGCTGCCGCGGAGCTCGCGCCGCACGAAGCGGTGCCTCGAACCGCCGGGGCGCGCGGCGCGGGGCGGAGCGGAAAGGCGGCGCGACGAGGAGGAGGAGGAGGAGGACGACGAGGAGGCGGCGCGAAGAGGAGGCGGCGGGGAGAGGCGGCGCGACGAGGGGCGGCGCGGGGCTGCGCGGGGCGACGCGGAAAGGCGGCGCGGAAAGGCGGCGCGACGTGGAGGAAGGGGGAGGCGACAGAGGAGGGAAAGTGCTCCACCCTCCTCATGATACTTGGAATCATATGGACCACTATGTACTCATCCGCCTCCTCGCCCTCCTCCTAAAACCTTCTCCTCCCCCTCCCCCTCCTCTTCAAGCTCCTGTTCCTGCTCCTATTCCTTCTCTGCCCTCCTTCCTCATCCCTCCCTCCTCCATCCCTCTTCGTTTCCTCCTCCTCCTCCTCCTCGACCTCCTCCTTCCCCTCATCCTCATCATCATCCTCATCCTCATCCTCACCTCATCATCAGCATCAGCATCAGCATCAGTATCATCGTCAACATCACCATCGAAATCATCATCGTCATCATCAACATCATCAGCACCATCATCAAAATTAAAAAAAAAAAAAAAAAAAAAAAAAAAAAAAAAAAAAAAAAAAAAAAAAAAAAAAAAAAAAAAAAAAAAAAAAAAAAAAAAACAGTGCGACCCCACCTAGGAGTTGGAGCCTCGTAGGAAAGCAACATTTGTAGGAGCGGTAAACGCTGTCCTCCTCCTTCTCCTCATCGTCGTACTAGCAGCAGCAGCAGCAGTAGTAGTGGTAGTGGTAGTGGTAGTGGTAGTGGTAGTGGTAGTGGTAGTGGTAGTGGTAGTAGTAGTAGTAGTAGTAGTAGTAGTAGTAGTAGTAGTAGCAGTAGTAGTAGTACTAGTAGTAGTAGTAGTAGTAGTAGTAGTAGTAGTAGTAGTAGTAGTAGTAGTAGTAGTAGTAGTAGTAGTAGTAGTAGTAGTAGTAGTAGTAGTAGTAGTAGTAGTAGTAGTAGTAGTAGTAGTAGTAGTAGTAGTAGTAGTAGTAGTAGTAGTAGTAGTAGTAGTAGTAGTAGTAGTAGTAGTAGTAGTAGTAGTAGTAGTAGTAGTAGTAGTAGTAGTAGTAGTAGTAGTAGTAGTAGTAGTAGTAGTAGTAGTAGTAGTAGTAGTAGTAGTAGTAGTAGTAGTAGTAGTAGTAGTAGTAGTAGTAGTAGTAGTAGTAGTAGTAGTAGTAGTAGTAGTAGTAAGTAGTAGTAGTAGTAGTAGTAATAGTAGTAGTAGTAGTAGTAGTAGTAGTAGTAGTAGTAGTAGTAGTAGTAGTAGTAGTAGTAGCGCCAGAACCGCCGACGCCACGCCGCAAGTGAAGCAGCAGAAGAAGCAGGCATCATGTCGCCGAGACAGCAGCAAAAGCAAGCAGGAACGGAGATGAGGGCGGGGCACTGGGGAGTTCTTTACATCTACATATGCATATACACCTACATCTACATCGACACCTACATCTACATCTCGACCTAGATCTACATCTACACCTACAGCTACGTCTACATCTACACCTGCATCTACATTACACCTACATCAACAGCGAGACGCACATCTACATCTACATATACACCTACATATGCACCTACATATACATCTACATCTACACTTACTTCCACATCTACACCTACACCTACATCTACATCTACATCTACACTTTCGCATTGGTTTTGCTTTTGCTGTGCATTGCCTTTGGTTTTGCCCTTGCCTTTGCTCTTGCCTTTGCCTTTGATGTTGCTTTTGATGTTGCCGTTGCTTTTGCTTTGTTTTTGTTGTTTGTGGTTGCTTGGTTTTGTTTTTGCTTTGCCCGCGCACTGACACACACACGCGCATGTTTTGTATTCGCGCACCGGGCGTGCTTGAGAACGCTCCGGATCCAGCCTACACCGCACGACTTGGCATTGAGCAAGGTTGTGCAACACTTGCTACACCGAACGTTCCCACGAAACTGTACAGCAGCAGCAACTCCCAGATCGGTGCAACAAGCTGTTCAGCATTGTTTCGGCGGGCATCATCGGCGCTGGAATATGCGGTTTCACCAGAGTGGTGCGACCACAACCTCCCCGCTATCGTGGAGTCGCCCGAGCCACTCTTGGCGCGCAGGGACTGTGTCGAATAACCAGTAGTACACAGATCGCCGTGACTGGTTCCCCCTCCGCAAGTCACAGATCTTGTAGCAGAAACGCTGCAAGTTAACAACCGGCCGTCACATTTGAGCAGGGATGTGCTCGCAGCCGATTTGCAAGAGGCGGTCACCGAACTCGCTGTTATGCAGAATGCAAGCAAACACCTCATTCGCTCTGCAGTTCTGGTAGTAGCACTGACCCCAAGGATGCGCTCCCCGTTAAAGAGCAAGGCGTTGATGACTTTGCCTCCACCCCAGGCTGTCGACCAGGACGTTCGCAGCAAGAGTTCCGCTTGGTCACCCCACTGAACCGGGAGTAGCTTCATAATCATGAGCAAGTAGAATGGTCGTTGGAACGCGGTGATCTGGTACTTCGTGCACAAGTGCTGCAGCGTTCTGCCTGGTCCACGTTGTGCAACACTAGGAACCGTGGTAGTGGTGTCGACGACTTCTCCTGGTACAGGTGCTGGCGCGGATGCTGCTGCTGAGCGAGTCACGGAATTGAGGCTGAACGGCAACGAAGATGAAAGGCATTACGACGCGGTGCTGAACAAATACATGCACACACACGCACACACACACATGCAGCATTCCACGTGGGTGTTATGTATATATACACATATATATATATATGTGCATATATATAAAAAGACATTTAGGACATGCGATAATACGTCGGGCTTCATGTCTCCCGGCCGGTGCTATGTGCGAAACCTTCGTGAATCTAAGGGCTCAAGCTGCCCCACTAAGGGCTCAAGATGGCCAACAGACGGACAACATGCATGGAACATACGTGCGCACACACACATAAGTATGTATACATATATATATATATATATATATAGCAGCAGCAATAGTGGATGCTGTGCTGCGCTATGCTATGCTATGTTCTGCTCTGTTACGCTATGCTATGCTATGCTATGCTATGCTATGCTATGCTATGCTATGTTATGCTGCGCAATGCTATGCTGGGCTAGGCTAGGCAAGGAGATGCTATGCTATGCTATGCTATGCTGCGCTAAACTATGCTGCGCTATGCTATGCTATGCTATGCTATGCTATGCTATGCTATGCTATGCTATGCTATGCTGTTGCTTTGCCTTCGCGTTTGCCTTCACTTCTGCCTTTGCTTTTGCTTTTGCCTGGCACCCAGGGTGCGCAACTGGGGGAACCGCGCATTTGCTTTTACCTTTGCTGTTGCTTTTGCTTGGCTCCCAGGGGAATGGTGGAACCGCCCCGGGCGGTTTGCACTGCCCGGCCCCTTTAAGCCAAGCGAGTAAGAACCCTTCTAAGCAGAGCCTAGGTAGGGAATAATCAACATCAGCATTATCATCATCAAAGTAAGCAGCAGCAGCATCATCAGCATCACCAACACCGTCACCATCACCATCACCATCACCATCACCATCCTCCTCCTCCTCATCATCATTATCATGATCAGCATCATCACCACCACCACCATCACCATCACCAGCATCATCATCATCATCATCATCATCATCACCATCAACATCATCATCCTCATCCTCATCCTCATCCTCATCATCTCCATCACCACTACCACCATCATCATCAGCAGCAGCGGCACCATCGTCAGCGTCGCAATATCATCATCAGTATCAGCAGCATCATCGTCATCATCGTCATCGACGTCATCATCATCATCATCATCATCACCATCACCATCAGAATCATCATCATCATGATCATCATCATCATCATCATCATCGTCATCATTGACGGCATCGTCAACGTCATCGTCATCGTCGTCATCATCATAAACGCCGTCGCCATCGCCATCACAAGCGTCATCGTCATCGTCAACGGTATCACAATCATGATCGTCGTCATCGTCATCAAAATCGTCAGCCTCATCCTCAGCAGCAGCGGCCACAGCAGCATCAGCATTAGCATCGGATCATGATCATCAGCATCATCATCATTAGTGTCATCATCATCATCATCATCATCACCATCATCATCGTCAACATCACCAGCATCATCATCATCATCATCATCATCAGCATCATCAGCAGCAGCAGCATCATCACCATCATCAGCATCATCATCATCATCATCGTCGTCATCGTCGTCATCTGTATCATCAATATCATCATCATCGTCATTATCATAATCATCGCGCCGGCCCCAAACCGCCTTCCCCCCGCGGAGCGGCTGTAACCCCGACGCGAGACCGGGGGGCGGCGATGGGCGCAAGCCCAAGGAATTCAAAACTGACCAAAGGAACATCTTTTCACCACGGCAGCGCAGACTCCTGAGGGGGGCGACAGCCCCCGAAAGATGCAGGGAGGCCCAGTTCGTCGAGGCCTACCTGCACGTGCCCTGGCAGCGGCTCCAGCAGAGATAGAATACAGAAGTGGACGGAGGAGAGGAGGAGGAGGAGCCAAAATGACGTCGGGGGCGGCTACGATAGGGGAGCGATAATGTGACGCACATCCAATCGCGCCGGCCCCAAACCGCCTTCCCCCCGCGGAGCGGCTGTAACCCCGACGCGAGACCGGGGGGCGGCGATGGGCGCAAGCCCAAGGAATTCAAAACTGACCAAAGGAACATCTTTTCACCACGGCAGCGCAGACTCCTGAGGGGGGCGACAGCCCCCGAAAGATGCAGGGAGGCCCAGTTCGTCGAGGCCTACCTGCACGTGCCCACACTACCCAACTTCCGTTTGGTGCGGCTAGCCGAGGGTGGGAGTCGAGCAGAGCGAGACACGGGAGGGCCAAAATATTCAAGAATCTGCGCTGGGAGCCGCTGTGATATCTTCTCTGAAAGCTGCAGCTGCTGGCGAGAGAGCGAGGACCGATTGCGAAGCATCCCCGCTGGCTTCGAATAACGCAGCACAGAAGATCGG